CAGGTGGAGGAATAATTTATAAGCCCCCTGTAGAAAAAAAAAAAAAGCAAAGCTGTGCAGCTGCTCCCACTTTGCAAAACTCGGGAACAGGAGGGGGATTTTCACTGCAGAAAAAATCAGGTTTGCCCAGAATTTAACACACACACAGAGAGAGAGAGAGAGAGGCAAAAAACAGCCCGGTCAGAGCTGCAGGAGGCAAAACCTGGGCGCTGATAAAGGGACTGTCACCAGTGTTGATGTTAAACTTCGCTTTTTTCCACTTAGAGAACACGAGCCTTGGGGTGTATTTGGTTTTTCCTTCATTAACTCTGCCCTGGGTGCACGCTGAGGGGTTTTTTTTGGGAGGCATCCCAACAAAAGTTGGTTTTTTTTGTTTTTTTTCTCTTTTTTTTTTTGTCCCTCCCTGCCTTGTCCTGCCATCTCCAGGGCTCGGGGGTTTGCAGAGAGGGGGAATTCCACGCATGGTGACAGGGAGTGGATGCTCCGAGGGCACAGAACATGCAAACACTGCCAAGGCAATGCCTTCCCCCCCCCTCGTGTTCCCAAACACATCATAAATCCCGGCCGGGTTTCCGTGCGGGATCCCCTCCTGGCGTGGAGGCAAAGGGGGCTTGGGGTAAATAAAACTTACTGGGATCACCGGGCACCCCATTAATTCAGGAACACTCTGCCCCGGCTTCAAAGGGGCTCCTCTGCAGCCAGGAGGGTGTTTTTGCTGCTCTAACGATTTGCTGCTTGTCCTTGTCAGAACTACACGGCCCCAAAACGGGGAGCAGGGAGGGGCTGGGGGAGTGCCCGGTTCCGCCTCCCAGCCAGCCCTGGGAGCTTCAGCTCCACGGATCTGGGGCTTCAGGGAGGAAAAACGACCCCATAAATCTCCTCTTGGGGCTTTTGTGAGATGCCAGGTCATGGAGGGAGCTCCACACCCTCCCCAGGTACCGACACACCTCCAGCTCCAACCCCAGCACAGCCCCAAGGACTCACCATCCAGGGCTGGGAGAGGGAAAACCACCCACACCTCACCCAAGGAGTGTATCCTGTGGGATAAATGGCCTGCTAAGACTTCCCACACCATTCTGTGCTTAATCCTTTTAGAGAACATGCAGACCCCCATTTTGTCCCCATCTCCCTGCTCTGCTTTGGGATTTATTGCTCCTGACTCCAGGCAGGGGACTTTTCCTGGGAGAAGCAGGACCCAACCCCTCTGGACACACCTGTAAACTCTCTGCTGCCTCACACACATTACCCTCAGTTTTCCCAAATCTCATTTTAAAATATCCTGCGTTAAAAACGCCCTAAATTACATTTAAAAATGGGAACAATTCTCTCTCTCTCTCTCTCTTGCATGTTTTCACTACTTATAAATATTTTAAGGAGTGTGTCCTACGAGAAAAGTGGCCTGCTAAGACTTCCCACACTGTTCTGAACTTAATCCTTTTAGAGAACATGAAGGCCCCCATTTTAAAGTCCTGTTTTATCCCCATCTCCCTGCTCTGCGTTGGGATTTATTGCTCCTGACTCCAGGCAGGGGACTTTTCCTGGGAGAAGCAGGACCCAACCCCTCTGGACACACCTGTAAACTCTCTGCTGCCTCACACACATTACCCTCAGTTTTCCCAAATCTCATTTTAAAATATCCTGTGTTAAAAACGCCCTAAATTACATTTAAAAATGGGAACAACTCCCTCTCTCTCTCTCTCTTTCTCATGTTTTCACTACTTATGAATATTTTAAGGAACTCCACTATTCAAACACACAGAGCACTTCAGAGGAAAAAAACCATTTGGGATGAATTTTTGATGGCAAAACAAAAGGGCTGTCGTAAGCTCAGTGAAAATAAATCTGGTTTTAGTCATCTATTTGGGGCTGTTTTCCTCAAAATAAAAGTAAAAAGCCATTGCCTCCCACTGCACCCACTGGGAATCATTTCAGTGAGAGCAAGCACATGGAAATCAGGAGTTCTCTGGGCTGAGGGGACCCCAAACCCAGGAGGAAGGGCCAGGTGCCCCCCCAGGAGGGTCTGGAGGGATGATTCCAGCCTGGAGAGCTGGGCTGGGACAGCAGAGCCCCATTTCTGCAGCTCTCACCATCTGTGTCTTCAAGCAGAACGTCACAGAGTCATTTGTGCTCCTGAGTGTCCCAAAATCATGGAATCATGGCATGGGTTGGGCTGGAAGGGACCCTAAAGATCATCCCATTCCACCCCTGCCACAGGCAGGGACACCTCCCACTGTCCCAGGTTGCTCCAAACCTCATCCAAACTGGCCTTGGACACTTAAAAAGTCCTGTCTAGACATCAATCAAAATCAAATCAGCCCAAAATACTGTTTAGACACCAATGATCCCATTGAACTCCCACCACACTGGATTTTTACACATCTTTGGGGTTTGGGACTGAAGGTACCGACAACCACCAGTGACAATTTAACTCAAACTCCCACCCCAGCAACTCCAAACCCCCAGCCCTGCCCTCACAGCTCTTATTCAGCCCCACAAACACCTTTTCCCTGTTTATCCCATCCATTTGCATCGCTCCCTGTCCTTCCATCCCCTTCCCCAAGTCCCACCTCCCCGTCCCAGCCTCCCCTCCCGTGTGACACCGATCCCTTGCAGTACCCCAGATCGGCCTCTCGCCGCTCCCTCGCACCATTCCTGGCTTCCCTGCCTTCCAAACCCAAGCTGTTGCAGAGCATTTCCCCTGGAATAAAACCCGGGAAGAGCACCCAGAGCTCCAACCCACCCGGGTGCTCTCCGGATTTCCTCCCCCAGCTCTCCTCCCGCCCAGGGGAGGCTGTTGCAAGACGTGCATCAAATATATGAAGTGTATAAAAACACTTCCCAGGGGCAGCCAGCCCTCCTCCAAAGGGGAAAATCAGGGCTCTGTGCAAAGGAATAAGGGAAAAAAAAAATAAGAGTTGCACAGTGCAGCCAACACCTGGGATTTGGGCACAGCAGCTCCTGCTCCAGACCCTAAACCCCGTTGGGTTCCTTTCTGACAACCACACTCAGGGACCCAAATCACCCTCCAGACCCACACTCCTGTTTCAGGCAGATTTTTTGCTCGGTGGGGAATTTTGAGACCAGTTCTGTTCATTTTCAGCAGGTCGGGGTGTTGGGAGTCACCCAGGTTTGGGTTCTCAGGGGGGGTTTCACAGCAAGGTTTTGACTCCAAGGAGCTCAGCTGCCTTTACCAGATATGCTACAAGTTGTGCTTAAACCCTTGAGAAAACCCTTCACTGGATATTCAAAAAAATAAAAATCCCAAAACTTCTTAGAAAACAAACAAGCAAACAAAAACACACACACAAAACAAACCAAAAAAAAAACCCCACCTCTTTCTTTGCCACATCAAACTGTTCTTTCAATGCCCTGGCAGTGCAGCCAATTCCTGCCTGCTTTTCCCAGTCCTCTTATCAAGATGTTCAGGCACAGGAGATTTATTTTTAGGCATGAAGTCGCCCCTGACTTTATTTTTCTCTGGCTCTTTTCCACCCAGAAGGCCCCAGGTTCTCCCCACCACCTCTCCTTCCCCCAGCAAGGCTCCCAACCTGGGGTTCAGCCCCTCCAGGTGATGCCCAAGTCCACGTTCACACCCTCAAATCCTCCTGTTTCCTTGGCACACCCTTCCCAAACAACACATCCAGAGACACCTGGAGACCCAAAAAACACCTGCCCAGGAATTCCCAGTGGGAACTGAAGTGAATTAAAAACCACTCCTTTCCAAATCTCTCCCTCACACCACTCAAGCTCCCAACTCCAGAAAAGAATAAAGAAGATCCCAAAGGAACAAAAGCCTCCCCTCCCTCCACCCTTCGGATCGCGGGGACCCTCCCCGTTCAAAAATCCTAATTTTGAGCCTTTTATGTGCTCAAACCCTCTCTCCCTGGGCGTGTTTTTTTTTTAATTTCGCACACAGCTGTCTGCTGTACTTCCTGCAATGGTGCCAGATGCTGGGTTCATCAGCCCAGAGCAGGCAAACAATGCTCTGAAAGCAATTAGAGGCAGCGAGGCTGCACCGAGGCTCATATTAAAATGTGATAACACTGTTCTGGGGGGAATTGCAGAAGCTGCTGCAGTTCTGACATTTCTGTGCTGCCAGACACGGGCAGGATGGGCTGGAAAGTGGGCCCTGATCGAGGAGGGAACACACTGGAATTTATTGCTGGAGCAAAGGAAGGGTCAGCTGAGCTGGAACGCTGGGAAGGGGTTTTGTTGCAGCCCCGTTGTTTGAACAGGGATCTGTTTAAGGAAAATTTAAGGGAAAGGGGCAGTCCCACTGATCCCTGGGCCTTGGCTGCAGCCAGGGTGGACCCAACGCTCCAAAAATCAGGAATCAGACCGAGCTCCCCCCGTGTGCCACAGTCCAAGGAGCTCCAGGTCGGCTCCAGGCAAAGCCAGATCCATCAACTGGCCCTGATCCACAGGAGAAGCCACTGACAGGGCTGGTGACCCACAGGCACCCTGCAAAGTTTAAATCATCGCCCCCATTATCAAGGAAATGAAGATCAAAGTCGCCATCAGAGCCTCCCCCAGCTTGTTAACAGACAGAACAAGGGATGGTCACGGGCCTGGAGAATTTACAGCCCGGCCATGTGGCCACACCTGGAGCCTGACTGAGTTTCAAGTTCAGGTTAAACACGAGCAGTGAGACTGGAGGTCACCCAAGAGCCTCTGCTCCCAAGCCAGCGGTCCATGGGAATGCTCTGCCCTTCCCAAACTTTAAAGCTTTTCTGGAGACAGAAGTTCTGCAGAAAAAAAAGCTCCCCGGGGCTCGTCCAGGACAATAAATTCCTGCCAGAACCACACACGTCGTGTTCTTTGCTCTCCAGGGTGAGGAGAAATGAGCTTCTGCTGCTCAGCACAGCCAGCCCAGCTCCTCCTGCAGCCCCAGAACTGCCACACTGCAGCTTTAGATTCACTTCAATTTCAATTTAAAACCACACACATCCAACCCCTCCCGCCCCTCAGGCTCATCCCCCTCCTTCCCCCATGGGACTCACCTCGGGGTGCAAAAGCCAAGTGGTACCTGAAAGAGCAAAGAGAAAAAAGAGTGGGTAAGGCACGTTATTCTCTCAGAGATCTGTTCCAGCCTCATGAACAAGGGGCAGAGGGGAGAATCCTGCCAGGAACCCACGGAGTGGGCGACACAAATTCCAGGCAGGAAGCTCCAGGAGGAATTGGGATGTCCCCTGTCCCTGCCCAAGGTCAGCTTGGAGCACCCTGGGACAGTGGAAGGTGTCCCTGCCCCTGGCAGGGGGTGGCACTGGATGAGCTCTGAGTCCCTCCCAACCCACTCCATGATTTTGTGAACTCCCATCCACTGGAAGGGGTCTCCTTTCTCCAAACACGAAGGTTTCTGTGACCTTTTGCTGCCCAGCCTGAATTAAGGGCTTCCAGAGGTCCCTTCCAACCCAAACTATTCCCTGCCCTCGTCTCACACCTCCCCTGCAGCAGCAGCACCACAGAGGGGGCAACACACGCCCTGCCCACGCCAAAAAAACCCTCATTTCTTCCCCTCCCTCACACTTGGGGCTCATCTTGGGTTGAAATCAGAGTCATTTTAATAAAGGAACCAGCACTGGGGAGTTTTGGAAGCGGATCAAGGGCCGGGGATAAACCACAAAGTGACCCATTCACAGGCAAGATGTGTAACAAAGGCTTGGTCTATAGGCACTGGTGGCAAGAATCCAGTGTGTGAAAACCCAATCAATTTGTTTTCCTCATTAAAAAGCTTTCATGAAGAAAATGATTTAACACAAACATCCGAGCTACTGACGCAGATTAATTAGGAAACAAGGGCGGAATCCTGATTAAGGGGCATAATATTTATTTGACTTGTTTGCTTTGGACCAAAAGAGGAGAAATTAAAGGACGTGCAGGGGCAGAAGAAACTTTGCTGGGTGAGAAATGGCAGCTGTGGGATGGAGGGAAGAGCCACAGCACTGTGCTCGTTCCTCTGGGCCTTTGGATGCTCCTGGCAGTGGTTCCCAAATTCTGCAAGGAGCTCTTCCCTCTCCCATCCTACATTTTCTCCCCCGAGCCCAGAGAGGCAACACCACCCACCCGAGGTCAGGGTGTCACAGCAGCAGCTCCACCTTCTGCTTTCCAGTCAGCTTTACCTGTTATTCAACCTCTGCTTTGAGATTTCAATCATTTATTCAACATCTGAGCTGAGAAACCTCCACCCCTGGCTCTGCCAGAGCTCCCCAAACCCCCCAGCCCCGAGAGCTGAAATACTTTTGTCTCCTGAACAGACAAGGACGGCTGAAAAAAACAAAATAAAATCACTTCTTGCTCCGTGAACTTTTGTCTCTTGTGCTTGAGAGACTGTCCTAATCTCCCCTGCACATGTTTTAGTGATAACATTTACTGCACCGGGGCCAAAATGATTTTCTGTCACTTGTAATTCCAGCTCAATAAAAGTATAAGAGCTTTGTTTCTAACCTCTGTCATTTTTAATACAGTAAAATGGCTTAAAAAAAAAAAATGTAAAATTGAGTTCCATTTCCTACAGGACCAGCAAAGCCCATGTTAAGCTTTGCTCTGATCAAATTTAAGGCAAGGGGGGGGGGAAATACCAAAAACATGCTTGGCTTTGGCCTCTTTTTTTTTAAGCATAAGGAAACAGTCAAAAATTCTAATCTCATCAGATCAGGATATGTCTTTAATCTCCAGCTTTGATCATTTGCACTCTGGAAAGGCTTAAGCAGAGAATGAAAGTTTAGTTTAAAATTTAATCGGGAGTGGGAGGAAAATGGTCTTGTTCTTACAGAAGATGGAAGAGTAATGACCCAATTCCTTCCTCTGCCACTGACTGCATGGAAACCTTGAATAAATTACTGACCTCAAGAGTGCACAAGGTACTGAAAACACCGTGGCATCACATCCAAGCCTTTCCACTTCACAGAATTTTTTCTTTCCGCTCTGTGTTTCCCCCACCCCTTCCTGCAGGCAACCTCCTCCTCGGCTCATCACCAAATTCCCTCCTCACCATTTTCACAGGTGGCCAAAATATTCCTTTCTTTTTTTTTTTTTTTTTTCCTGCAAGAAACGCAACGATTTGGGCAAAACACCCGGTTTTGCTTCAACCACCTCAGGGGTTTAATTCAAAACCAGCCGCATCCCCGGGCCCTGAGCGTGATAAAATCAGAATAAATCGAGTTTCTGTGCAGCAGGGGAGGAGGAACTCGCTCAGCAGCAGCAGGTTCTCACCTCGGGCCCTTCTCCAAAGTGAGCTTGAGGCCAATTAACGCTTTTGTTCCCAATTAACCCAGCGCTGAGGAGCACTGTGAGTTACTCAACACGCCCATCTGTGGGTAACAGGCACTTACACAACATTTCCTCCTCCAGCAGGTTTGCCCCCAGAGCTGCAGCCCAGTAACATCTCCCAGCAAATAATTAACAATATCCTGTAATTGCTCCACACCCGTCCCCCCCTGAGCCAGCTGAACTCAGAAACCAAAGGCCTGCTCCTTCTTTAGTTTGGGATCAGCTTGACGTTTTCATCCTTAATAAACAGTTTTTTAGGTCTCACAAGCACCAGCAAAAGCTTCTCACTCGTTTTAAGGAGAAAGTTTGGGAACAGGGGATGGATTTGGTCATGGCTTGACTGTTTTCTTTTAAGCACACGATTAAAAAGGCTCCTGTGCCCCAGAAATAATCCCCCAAGAGGAAAATCTGTTCAAGGCCAGGCTTGGAACAACCTGGGAGAGTGGAAGGTGTCCCATGGGATGGAACTGGATGATCTCTGAAGTCCCTTCCAACCCAAAGCATCCCGGGATTCCATGGAATCACAGCAAAGAGCTCCCAGCCCTACAACAGGAAGGTTCAATTCACACCCCAGACCCTAAAACAGCAGAGGGGAAACGGGGGGAAATCTCCTGTCAAAGGATGAACAACCTGGAGCAGAACCCTCGGGGATTTTTGGTGCTTTATGTGCAGGGAGGAACTCGCCCAAAAATGTCTGGAAACACGACTAGGGATGTGCTGGAAGGAGCAGAACCTTCTGCTGCCTCCCAGGAGGGAAAGCTGGTTCCAGGACCTGGCTCACAAACCTCATCTTTGCACTGGTTTGGAACAGGAGCAGCACCAGGATTGGCACCTGGGAGGTTGGAAAATCGAGTTCTCCAAATCCTCCCCCCTTCCTTCCAGGTCTGCTGTGGGATGGATTCACCCCCAGGAACCAGCTTTTCATCCTGGGGACAGAGATGCTTCCAGGGCTGGCCAAGCAGAAAAAATTACTTTAATGCTCCTCTCACATCCCCAGCAGGGTTTAAACCAAGGAAACACAGAAATATCCCTTCCTGCTCCAAAAGGAAGGGCTGGCAGAGCCCTGGGATACACAGGGATGAAACTCCCCCCTGGCTCAGTATTTCCCCTGCCACACTGGGTCTGGATTTGCCCTCTGGTGCAAGGACAGGACTTGTGTTTTCTTGGAGCACCAAGATAATTTGGTTGTATTCCTGCATTCCCAACCTTTACACAACTCAAGCAGATCTGCCCCAGGCCCCTCATCCTCTGCTGTTGTCATGGGAAGAGTCACAAACCCCACCAGTGCCCAGAAATCCAGGAAAACACAGAATTAACACACGCCCTCCTCCCAGCCACAGAAAGTTGCTGACCAGCAGCAGTAAATCAGGCATCAAACCTGCTCCATTTGGGGCCAGGAGCAAAAAAAAAAAAAATCAGTGTCTGAAATCTCAGTGTTAAGCAGGGGGTCAGACTTGATGGGCATAATGGTCTCTCTGCAGCTCTGAAGTCTCTAAAAGTCTAAACCCCACTTTCCTCTCAGGCTCAATTGCAGCAGGAACCATAAAGTCAGGTTTCAATCAAATTTCCTGCATTTTCCTGTCCAATTAAGAACACTAATATCACCACAGATGTCATTAAATTAGATATTTTTTTGAGACAGCCTAATTTGTTCGGTGCGCGGCGTTCGTCGGGTTTTAATGTTTGGGGAGGAAAAATAATAATAATAATAATAATGAAAAAAAAAATCAATGCTGTACAGGATTTCAGGCAGGGGGAAAAAAAATAAAAAGAGATGAAAATGGGATTGGGGAGCTCAACCATTAGCAAAAGCCAGTTAGAAACCACTTCAAATGCATTTCTCAGCTCAGTGTTACACGGGAGCAGCAG